GGGGGGGGGGGGGGAGAAACTCGCATTAAACTATTCCAAAACGCTCAGCGGCTGTGTTTCTTTAGCGGGGCGGTTCCTCGGTACTACAGCTCCCGAAGCGCCCCGGGGCAGCGCCCGCCCGCCTAGGGGGCGGTGCCGCTGAGTAAGATGGCGGCGCTGCCGGAGCGGCTGTGAAGGTGAGCGTTGGCGCCGGGGATGAGTGGGGGGGGTTCGGGCGCGGCGCCGCTGTCCGCTTTGAGGTGCGGCCGCGCTGTGGGACGAGGCGCTTCCCGCCTTTTTTTTTTGGCGCGCGCCCGCCGCTCTGTGAGGGCTCTGTGAGCTCGAGGCCTGCGCGCTCCGTCCGCCTCTGTCGCAGGGAGTGCGGCTGGATCCGGCGTGGCAGAAAGAGCTGCGGGACCGAGGGTGAAAGCGGAGAAACGGAGCTGTTCGCGTTCCGGAGGGGCTCGAATTGACCATGTCCGGCTTGTGAGAGCGAAACACATCCTGAGAAGTAAGCGGGGCGGGAGGGAAGGATCCCTGGTGGGCTGTGCCGTGGAAGGGAGGAGGGAAGGCGGGCTTTTTTCTTTCCAGATGTTTGAGTGATTTATAAGCGTGAGAAACAGAAGCATTTACAGAATTGCCAGGGTTGGAAGGGACCTCAAGGATGATGAATCTCCAAGCCCCCTGCCACAGGCAGGGCCACCAACCTCCTCATTTAGTGATAGACCAGGCTGCCCAGGGCCCCATCCAACCTGGCCTTGAACACCTCCACGGATGGACGGGGCATCCACAACCTCCCTGGGCAGCTGTTCCAGCACCTCACCACTCTCTCTGTAAAGAATTTCCCCCTGATGTCCAACCTATATCTCCCTTCCCTCAGCTTAAAACCATTTCCCCTTGTCCTGCTGTCATGCACCGTTTCAAAGAGTTGATTCCCCTCCTGTTTGTAGGCTCCCTTTAGGTATTGAAAGGCTGCAATGAGGTCACCCCGCAGCCTTCTTTTCTCCAGGCTGAACAAGCCCAGCTCCCTCAGCCTGTCTTCATAGGGGAGGTGCTCCAGTCCCCTGATCATCTTCGTGGCCCTCCTCTGGACCCTCTCCAACAGCTCCCTGTCTTTCTTGTACTGGGGGCTCCAAACCTGGACGCAGATGTTTAGGATGTGTATTGTGTAGTTTTCAGTAGGTGTCTGCTCGTTAGGTGGCTGTCTCCCTGTCTCTCAATAGAGACACCACCTTTTTCAATATATATTTTATACATGTGCATGTACTGTAATGATGTAGACAGTGGGATTGAGAGCACAAGGCCGTGGATGGGCTCTGGGCAGCCTGAGCTGGTGGGGAGCACCCATGGCAGGGGTTGGAACTGGGTGATCTCTGAGCTTCTTTCCAGCCCAATCATTCTATGGTTAAACGTGGCTGTTAGGCCTCAGTGAGTCCCCTTTCCTTACTGATTTTTTTTCCCTATAGCGCAATGTCCCTGTTGTTTACTCGTTCCAAGTCAATAGTTGCAGTGAAGAAGGATAAAAGACACATGGCTGAGGTAAATGCTTCTCCACTCAAACATTTTGTCACTGCAAAGAAGAAAATCAATGGCATCTTTGAGCAGCTGGCTGCGTACATCAATGAGAGTTCCTCATTCCTGGAGGGTAAGCTGAGCTGAATGGTGCTTTGCCTGCATGTGGTTCCTAAGGCACACACCAAAACCCTCATTTATTTATAAATACATCTCTCTTTATGTGTTTGTATGAGGGACTGAAAATTATTTTACTGAATTTGGATGAAGTTTAGGCTTCATATTTCAAAGCTGACTTAAGTTGGTAAATTATGAAACTGAGCTAGTTAGTGGGCTACTTTCTGTTGATGTTGGAGAAAGTTGTTTCTGTGTGTGTCTTGTTGTTTTTTGTTTTTTTTTTTAACGAACCATTTAAGGCTCTTTTGGTTGTGTGCATATAATTCTTTCTTTTGGTTGTGTGCATATAATCCTTCCGGTATTGTCGCCTAGACACGTCATTGCCAGTGACGTGGAACATATACAGTAATTGGCTTTACAGCTTACGATGCAGAGAGAAGTTTTTTAAGGATGCTGGAATGTTTGAAGCGTTGGATGCGTTCTGCTTAAAGCAGTCCTGAGGATAAGAATGGTTATTAGATAAAGGAAGGAGACTGGCAGATAAATGCTGATGGGTGTAACTGCGTGCTTCAGCATGACCTGTCTGAACTTTGGGATACAGATAAGCATTTAGTTGTGTGTGTTAAATTATGGGGAGATGTTTCACCCAGTACTGGGGCAGATCACTTCAGGGATTCAGAGGCATGATGTATTTTGATTTTTAGAAACACACAAGAATGTAGAACTTGATCCTGTCACCACAGAAGAGCAGGTACTGGAAGTGAAAGGCTACTTGTCAAAAGTCAGTGGCATTAGTGAGGTGCTGGCAAGGCGACACATGAAAGTGGCTTTTTTTGGAAGGTAAGTCACGTGCTTACATTGCCTACACTCCCTACTTGGTAAAGAAACTTGCATCTTTAGGATCATAGCCAGTAAAAAGTATTTATAGAAGCTTCTGCATGCAACGTGTGGCAGATGTCCCTAGTGTTAGTACTTGTGTAAATGGGACTTAAATATTGTAGAATATATTCTATTTGGAAGAAGTTTTAAAAGAAAAAATGGGTTTTTTTTTTAAGTTGTTAATACTTCTGGAACTGCTTATTTTTTTGTAATATCAAAATGAGTATACCTAAATAGCTCAGAAGCCCAGCTATGCTATTCTTTAATCTTGCTTCAGGACGAGCAATGGAAAAAGCACAGTGATAAATGCCATGCTATGGGACAAAGTCCTTCCTTCAGGAATTGGGCACACCACTAATTGTTTCCTGCGTGTAGAAGGGACTGATGGTCATGAAGCTTTCCTACTTACTGAAGGCTCGGAAGAAAAGAAGAGTGTTAAGGTACAATTTCCTTAAGTATAAAGTGTAGGAGAAGAGCTGTGTTCCAGTGCCAGAGAAGGAAATGAGAAAAGGAAAATGAAAGCACTGTGAATAGACTTTTAACAGTTCAGCGTTATATTCATTGAAGGAGCAGAGATTAACAGCAGGTTTTCAATGAGTGTAGGAAGGGAGGAGTGAATCAAGCTATGGCATGAGACTTCATTATATGTGGAAGATGATATGTTGGGATTGTGCTAATAGGGAGTTGGAATGATGGCTCAGGAAGTTCTCAGCTCTGTATGACTGGTCAAAGTTACAGCCTTCCTGATAGTTCCTCAGCCTTATTCTTCTTATAAACTCTTTTTGGGTGGTTGTTTTTTGGCTGGGGAAACTCGTGATGTGGAAATACTCTTGGGGAGATAATTCCAAGTTGGATTTTATCCTAAATTGTCTGTGACCAATTTGAAGGGGGGAGATAATTGTCTTAGCATATGGAACATAGAGCATATATAACATAGAAATGTCATATATATGTATGACAATATATAAACACTTTTTTTTTTTTTTTTTTTTGTAGACAGTAAACCAGCTGGCTCATGCCCTCCATCAAGATGAGCTTCTGAATGCTGGCAGCCTAGTCAGCGTAATGTGGCCCAATTCCAAATGTCCTCTATTAAAGGATGACCTGGTGCTCATGGACAGGTGACAATATCTGTCTTTCTTTTCCTCTTTACCACACATTTCTTTGTATTCAAATACAAATTTAGCAGACATCAATGAAAGTGACCTTGTTTTAATCTGAGACAGTGACCAAAGTCCTTTCCTGCAGTTAACAGCCACAGTTTATCTTGATTTGTCCTTTCAGTTTGCAGTCTGCAAACTAAAACTTCAAAGCAGTGTGGGTCAAACACAGAAAATAATGCCCTGTATAGCTGAAACAAGTCTCGTACTAACTTTTTAAAACATATTTTTGAAGTTTCCCCAGAATAATGTTTCTTCTCTTTCTGCTCTTAGCCCTGGCATTGATGTAACCACTGAGCTGGACAGTTGGATTGACAAGTTCTGTCTAGATGCCGATGTATTTGTTCTGGTGGCAAATTCCGAATCAACGTTGATGCAAACTGTATGTTTAAGTTCACTTGATAGTGGTCAGTGAATCTGGCTGAAAGTTGAAACGTTGACAAATTAATTTAAGAGAATGTGTTCCATTTTGCACAGGAGAAGCAATTCTTTCACAAGGTGAACGAACGTCTGTCTCGACCCAATATATTTATTTTAAATAACCGCTGGGATGCATCTGCCTCTGAACCAGAATACATGGAAGAGGTTTGTGATTTAAATTCCTTCTCTTTGCCTGGAGTCCATTATAGAGACCATTTTGACTCTCGTCCTTGTGTGTAGAACCATAAAGTGTTAGATACGATTGTTTTAGCTTGTTTTTTATTACTGTAGCGTGGAAATTAGAGGGAGTATAGGCTAGTGGTCACAGCATGGCTTTGGAGATTTCTAAAGTGGAAATCAAGAACTTCACCAGGCAGTGTGTAAGTTAGTTGTTTTGGATGACTTCTGGAAGATTTTATAGACTGCAAGGTTGTTTTCTTATTCTTTCATATCAGTAGCTTAGACCAGCAGAGGGCATCTGAGTGCCTGATCTGATTTTTGAGGTGAAGCTTAAAGTGGCTGTAATTGAACATGGAGGTGTTCCTGTTTATCTCTCAGGTGCGTCGGCAGCACATGGAGCGCTGCACCAGTTTCCTGGTAGATGAGCTGGGCGTGGTGGATCGAGCACAGGCAGGGGATCGAATCTTCTTCGTGTCAGCAAAAGAAGTGCTGAATGCCAGGATTCAGAGGGCTCAAGGGATGCCAGAAGGAGGTGAGGAAGCTAACAGGGCTTTTTTTATAGTGAAGAAAATAAGAGAATATCTTGTTTCACAAATGGGCAAAACTGAATTTATTAAAATTATCAAATTGTTAAGAGAGCAGACAAAATC